GTCAATCATTGGCACTGCATGATTACTGCAACCACACAACACAAAACAGATACACATCAATTAAGGAAATGCATTTTAAACTCGCTGCATGAAAACATTATGCATATTTTATTATTGCTGACATTTGCTATTCTTGACATGTCCTCCATTAGCACAGTATAAAAATGCCGACATGTGTAACCCTAAGAAACCAGCATCAAAGAAAACTGGTTTCAAACAACACATTTAATGATTTACAACTCATTCAAGTGAGCTTCAGATATCACAGGACACAAAGATACGTCTATGCTGCCTTCCTTCAAGAAATTACCAGATGGAGGCATCTTAGTAGACAGGAAGTCAAGCAAACAATGGATGTGGATATGCCTGGATGGCTCTGCCCGAGAAAGCAATTTTTGCAGGTTTCACTGCCATTATTGCTGCTTAAAAGTGCATTCAAGCTAATGCTCACTAGAATCAGACATCAATCATAGAGTTTTCATAGGAGTTGGGATTACACAGCTCAACGTTTTTCACACTACAACACCATTACCATACTACAACTGTCCCAGACTTTACTTTTGAATAATTTACATCATCATAGTCTAGCCTGCCCTGTTCCTCCACTGCTTCTTTGCAGGTTCTCATTGGTTGCTGAAAAACCACACTGTTGTCAGGGGCTTCTTTTAACTTAAATTTAACCCACATCTATACCCCAGTATGACTTCATACAAGCCCCGCCCACTCCAGCTAGACTGTCGGACCTCCCACTATGATCATTAAATATTCATGCCGACTCATTAAAAGTTAATTTACTTGGAAGGAGCTGGTGTGGGGTTTTTGGGGTGCAGTGTTGAGGTACGGAGTCCTTGACATGGAGAACATTACCTGGATCGTGGGCGGACCAGAATGGCCCGGTAGAGCAGGCTGCAGGGCAGGAAGCGGGTCCGGCCCACTGAGAGGATGATGGGATGCAGGGCGGCCAGTACATAGCCCTGGGTGTAGTAGGACTGCAGGGCATGGGGCAGCTCGCACAGCGAGGACAGATACTGCACCGTAGGCCGACTGCCTGTGGAACATAGCACAAATAAAACTCACAATACACTCAGTGGAAACCACCATATGAGATGAGATAAGCTAATATACTTAATACCTTATGAAAATATTATGAAGCTACAGGTTGTCTCATAAAACCGGCATTTTGATTAGGTGCATAGACATTTCGTAGCTTATTTTGGCCAAGAATGACCCATTTA